GTACAAGTTCAAACAAAATAGTAATAATAAATAAAATAGAAGAATAAACTATGAAATGAAGATATGAAGCTAGATTACACTAATCATTGACATTAAGCTAATAATGAGTATGTAGGTAGTTAATAAATGCCTACCGTAATCTCAGCAACATTATAACCATGACCATGAGAGTGGCCATGGTGACTCAGAATGAGCAGACCAATGGCATTGATCAAAAGGCCACCGGCCCCCACAAATACCATGAGTTTTGGTTTGTCTGTCTTTTGAGGCTCAATGAAACGTTTGGCAACATCAATTAGGATGTTGAAGCACAGGGATATTAATACAACCGTATTAACCAAACTGCCAACAACTTCGGCTCTCTGCCAGCCAAATGTGTTTTTGGATGAGCTTGGCCATTTGGCTATCCTTGTCGCAACTAGGGCTACCACAAGTGACATAAAGTCGGAGAGCATATGAAAAGAATCAGCGACCAGGGCTATCGAACGGGTTAGATGACCCGTTATTAATTCCACAAAAAAATATAAAAGTACCAGCACCATCATAGAAGTCAGACGACAGGTATCCCCAAAACGAGAAACCATACTCGAAAAACGCTATGAAGGTGACTGGGACGGGTAGCCCGAACTGAAGCCCCACGACTTGTAAAGAATAAGAAATAGCAAATAAAAAGAAAGATTACATAAATTAAGTTAAATTAAAAACTTAAACTTTTATCAGACTGCTAAAAGAATTTGCGTAACTTAAAAATGATTTTTAATGATGAAAAATAAACAATGTGTTGGCTTATAGTTTACTAATAAATATAATCTTAGTTAATCTTTAAAAGCGGGTTATTCGCGCATCAGCTGTGTTGTTCTGCGTGGCGTCCCAAAATGAAGCCGCTGTCCCTCCAATTTTGCACAACTTCTTCAAGTCTTACCTTAAATCCAAGTCTACCATCCTTGCCTCCTGGACCAACATTGATCGTACAGCCTAGTTTGGCCTCAATTAATTTAGAACAAGACACTCAAATTACCTTGAATCAAGCGTTGTGTCAACATACTATTTCCGAACCTCCACAGTATAAGAATTCTATGGTATTATTATCAACAATTTTATTAGATATACTAAAGAAAATTAACCAGGATCAATTATTGCATTGCATTTTTATCTGGACAGCTTCTATTTTAAAAAGAAATTAGCTTAGCTTATTTCTCTAGGTTATATTCAGGACAGTCCCTATGATTTATTGTTTTATCCGAATCCCACTTTTTTCAAAATTTTTGATAGAATTATTAGCCGTTTGTCTTGCTATTTCACTCAATTTCTAAACTGTTCATATCCCAAGATTTATTAATAATTTATTTTTGAGCACAGGTGAGGCGGCCACGATATATTTTACCTCCAAATATGGTTCTTCAAACTAGTGATTCAGAGCCTCGTCCTTGTGCGACGCAACCAATTCAAAACAATCCAATGCCTCTGGAGAGAGTCGCGCATTCTCAAAGCTTATTTTCTCCTGAAATTTTACTAGAAGATTCAGGTGATTCAAGTTTATTTCTACCTTAAACTATGCTCAGAAAATATTGTAGCCACTTGTAATTTTTTACATACTAATTCTTTCTATTAACACTCTAGCCTTGACTTCAAATAAGTTTTCATGATAATATATTATGATTTTGTTATTCCACTTAGTTTAGAGTATACTTTGTCATATATAGTAATTCAATACATAGTTATAATTTTTATCCGCGAATGTTTATTCTTTGTTGCTTTCTTGAATTAATTTATTAATTAAGTAGTTATACCTCATTTTCGCAACTTAGTCGTGTTGTCAGGGCTATGCGGATAAATGCACCTTACCCG